ACTTTGTGTTGATGCTTGCAGTGTGCACATCGCGGATAAATGCATCCAAGCCATGTGCGTTAATTGAATTTTTGATAAATGAGGCTAAATTACTATATGTATATGTATGTACATACATATTACCCTGCAAAAAATTGTGCGACTAATCTCTAAAGAGAGTATTCCGAGATTACTCTCAATCGGGTACAATTGGGCATTAATTAGTCGCAACTAGTCTCATACGGGTACTAATGGAGGTCAATTAGTCTCGACTCATCCCTTATGGGTATAATTGGAGATTAATTAGTCCCCAACTCATTCTAACGGGTACTATTAACGATTTAATGATATGTACGCACTTAGTCAATGAAATTTCATGTGCGGCGTTGGCACACAGAGAGAGCATTCGCCTAACAAAACTAAGCAACCCGGTTCGAATCTTAGCTGGCGCAAATTTTTATTTTTTAAAAGTGACTAGTCGCTTTTTATACCCTTTCGGGTATAAAGGTGAACAATTAGTCTCTTCATAGGACATGCTCGAACAAAAGCGAACAGTTCATTCCATATAAAGAGATCAGAAATGGTATTAGTCGCATGTTCCTTTGCGATTGCTCCCGGAGTCATCCCGGAATAGTCCCATTTTTTGCAGGGTAGTAAAATATAAATAAATTTAAGTAACACATACATAAAAAACCCTAAGTCATAAGTATTTCAATTGCATCATCCGCGTCTTTCCTTTCCATGTTTACGCTTTGAGTACAAAATCACTTATGAGCCGCTCGCCGTTTGTAGCAAACGACAGCCAGCATGTTGGCGCACATGTGCGCGGATATGCTCGTCGTGTGTAGCTACTGTAAGAAAAACCCCCTAACCATATGATTATCATGTGCTAAGAAAGAAGAATTAGACTTCATTCTCTCAACTTCTCAGAATGTAGAAAAGCTAAGAAATATATAATAAGATAGGATATATTTAAACAGCCTCCAGAAGATTTACCAAAAGACGCCCCTGAACTGAACAAATCAGTTTGATTTAAAATTTTGTTTGAGTAGTACCTGAGTAGACTAAATGCTGATATGCCAAATGAGTGTCCGGCATGCGGAGAGACCCCTCACGACTCGAAACATCTCTTCTCATGCCCGGAAAACCCGACAACCCTAATGGCGTTGTAGCTGTGGATCGATCCCGTAGAGGCTGCACGCTTCTTAGGGCTACCGTTAGTGGAACTCGACGACAACGACTGAGATATCAACCGATATGGGCGGGGTTGTTGTAGCCGCTTCAACAACAACAACAGAGCAATGATCATATTCTTAGGCAATGGTCATATTCATTCTCCCCTACAAAATCCTCAGCCACACTTTACCACCTGGACGAAGGAGGTCAGACTCCAACCGGGAATTCACGTCGATGATACACCAATTCCGACGGTGAACAACCCGAAGATACTCGGAGTAACATTCGATAGTCTGCTCTCCTCTTGGGTGCATACAACCGCAATTGTCAACAAAGTACAAAGCCGCAACAGGGTCCTCAAGTCGCTAGCCGGCAGCACCTGGGGCAAAGACAAAGAAACGTTGCTGGCAACGTACAAGGCAATTGACCGGCCGGTTCTGAACTACGCTGCGCCAGTGTGGTCACCGGGGACTAGTAGGACGCAGTGGATGAAGCTGCAGTCTTGCCAGAACACGGCACTTAGGACAGCGACAGGACGCCTCTTGATGTCGCCACAACGCTACCTGCACGAGGAGGGCACATGCTCCCAGTTAAGGAGCATAACATAATGCTCTGCAGGCAATTCCTGATTGGGAGCCACAGATGTGGCCATCCGAACAGGCAACTCCTTGCAGAAGAGCCCTCGCCCAGGCACGTCAGGAGGCATCTCTACGAACTGACGGAACAGGCAGCGTTTAAAAGAAAAATAAAAGAAATCTGGATCCTAACATCGATGAAAGGGTCTGCAAAGCTACAACAAATGTACACTCCTGTACGAGGACTATATAGCGAGAATTAAGGTCTGGAGCCCAAGCTTTTAGATGGATTTACATTGCGATGGTAAAACATATTCTCTACTACTGAGAAGAAGTCTGGAGGGATGCTCTTAAGAAGAAGGTAAACGCTAGGAATACGAACAAAGTTTAACAGCTGGATTCTCTGCTGATAACAGGAGCAACGAAGACAACAAATCGGCCACTGTTAAGTTTTGACCGACAGCCGAGTAAACCCTACCCAGGATCAAAGCTCGACAGATAAAGGCTTACTCGGAAGTTAGGTACACCTTCCAGCTTCTTTATTAATGCGGAGTTTTTCCGGCGGAACTGATACATAGCTATCTAAATTGCCTACTCAGTACAAAGTAGCACTTGTTGGCAAGAGTGATTCTGCATTGGATTGCGAGGCTGACATTATTTTCGGTGTTAATGCTGGTTCTCTATTTTTTCGAAACCGTTAACAGTACCGCGCGTGCTGAGGCGCCAATTCGCTGACTAGTTGTTTGAGGAGATACTTTTAGCCTGTTCCCGTACTCCAGGATTTGCAGGTTTTACAGAAATAGCTATTTTCGCCTTTAATAAACCTTATGTGAACGTGGCGTACGGGAACGACTTTGGTCTAAATCCTGCAAAACCTGCAAATCGTAGACATTCTGGAACGCTCTGTTTGTCTTGCCCTTGTTTACCACCAGACCCATTCGTTTTGCTTCCTTATCTAACTTGGAATGTACAGAACATACTTCACGTTTTTTGTTACGCCAGCAGTTGTTCTCTCTTGTAGTAAATTATTCCTAATCGGTTCATTTCTACGGCTCTTGTTATCTTCTCCAATATCAGATTAAATAAATCGCACGACAGGGAGTCACTCTTTATAAAACCTCGTTTGGTATAAAACGGCTCGAATAATAATATAATACATTGGCGATTACACATATGTTAGTGTTTGGCCGAGCTTCTCCTCCGCTTTGTGGCGTGCGCCTTTACGTTGTCAAAGGGAAGGGACCTACATTTTTACGCCGCCTCCGAACGGCGACGATTGTATTTTTTTGAGAAGCTGTTTTTCATGGCAGAAATACACTTGGAGGTTTGCCATGGCCTGCCGAGGGGCGACCGCTATTAGAAAACAACTTTTTTTGTTTTGTTATTTTTGATATCGGGTTGAGCCGGGCTTGAACTCAGGCCCTGCGGTTTGGTAGCACGCACTGCTAACCACTACACTGCTGGTATTGCCGTGTTAGTTTCGCTGGTATACCAAATTCAGATTTCGCAGGATTTAGCAATTCCTTTTTTGTGCTGTAGGAAGCGACTGTCGAGGCACTGTGCATGGACTTCGTCGCCTTCAACTGAGTGCTGGGGTCATTTCTTCCCTAACATTCAGCGTTGCTACCATTCAGTAGGGTGTAGGAATGCCCTCTCCACAATTAAGCACGCTATGGACATCGTTCGCAAGCTCGCGATACTTATTCTTACAGAAATTTCCTCTGGTTTTAAAATCTTCCGAAAAGGCCCTTCCACATATAACTTTGGCGTTGCGTTGGCGTCTCTTCAAGAACTGACTATGAGTATATGAATTCAAGTACAGCCGTCCAAATCGTAAAAATTCGGCGACCCTAACGCCAACACAAAGCAGCTCTCAACTTTTCGCGTGCGTTGCTCGCAAACTGTTGAAAATAAATAAAATTATGTGAAATATTTTTCCTTTTTAATAAAATGTGGGCAAGAAATATCGTTTTTCATGCAGTGATTGATATGAAATATTAATTTATCTGCCGTTAGTATGTTAATTTAGTGGCCAAAGCATTCGCTGCCAAGCGTTCATTGTAGCAAGCATACTTTTAACGCCAACGCCGAAGTCAACGCGAAAGTTCTATGTGGATGTGGACCGGCTTTAAGGGCCGGTTACTCAATGTCTGGTTAACACTAATCGGCGGTTAAACATCGTTATCGACGACTTCGACTCCATGCATATAACAGGGAGTCGGTAACGTCGATAACTATGTTTAACCGGAGATTATTGTTAACCAGACATTAAGGGCCGGTTACTCAATGTCCGGTTAACACTAATCTGCGGTTAAACATCGTTATCGACGTCTTCGGCATACTTTTAACGTGAGTTGTGTCAAACCAACGCCAACGCCGAAGTCAACGCGAAAGTTCTATGTGGATGTGGACCGGCTTTAAGGGCCGGTTACTCAATGTCTGGTTAACACTAACTCCCCGGTTAAACATTGTTATCGACGTTCTAACTCCATGCATATAACAGGGAGTCGATAAGGTCGGTAACGATGTTTACCGGGGGATTAGTGTTAACCGGAGATAGAGAAACCGGCCCTAAGTCGTTTAACTTTCTGATAAGATTTTCGGGCTTCTTTCCTATTCCCTACATTTCAAGATCTTCGTTCTCACGTATTTTGGCTTTTTTCTTTCTCTTCTTATTACAACAACCACACATAGCTTCCCACTTTAGCTACCTATATCGATCCCACAAATATCGCATTGCGCCCGATCGCAGCGTGATTCTGTACGCGGCATCTTTTCTCTCTGCAACTTCGTGACATTCCTTATCCTGCCAGTTGTTCTTTCGAACTCGCTGGAATCCGATTGCTCCTTCGGCGATGGTACGGAAATGTAGTTACAATGCATAGCTTAAGTCGATATTTTGAAAGAACCCTCCATTCTCTCAAACTCACTCAGCTATTACGTAATATTATCCCTCTCTGCAGGATATATTAAAGCAAACCCGTGATTGAAGCCTTGGAAGGGAATGCTGCATATCGTTACCTTAATTCACAAAGGCCCTAACCAACACTTTTTTCGAATCTGTATTTTTCACAGATTATATTCCGCTTTTTAAAACCCCCGGTCTGTTTTTTGATTGTCTTTTTATAATGTTTTTTGTTTCTCCTTTAAAATAAAAAATTTGTTGGTTAGCCCCTTGGTGAATGTTGTGCTATAAGCAAGGGGTCGACTTTGCTTTCAACGAGTTCCATATTGATACAGATTTTTTACCGAAAATTAAAATGCCTTCAACAGAAAAAATGTCAAATCCTTATACCGGAAATAATTTTACTTTAAGAAACATTACTTGTCTTCTGCTACTAAATTTTGAACTTGAAGGCGAAATCCACATCTTAATATTCATCGTGGAATGGATAATGTGGATGACTGGATAAACTGTAATAAATCACTCGATATTAGAATAAAATCCAAAATTACAAACAATCGCAAATTATACTTCGACAATGGGACCAAACGTAATTTTTTATCCAACTTATCAATAATTTCCATCTCATGATCATCCAATTCGAAATCCGCCACATTGAAATTACTCTCAATTCGACTTGGAGTTACAGATTTTGGTATTACAGCATTACCACGCTGCAATTGATAACGGAGACAAATTTGTGCTGCTGTACGTCCATGATGAAAAGCTATACTTTTAATCTATGGATGAAAAAATCACAATTTTTGCGAACGCATACCTAGAATATAGCCATCATCGATTCGCCACTTCGCTGCTTGCTATGTTTGAGTTCCGGTCTCTTAACGACTGCGAGTTTGGTTGTACCGCATTGAGTTCGTTCGTTTAGCCACTTGCTGACTGTTGGCGAATCGATGACGGCTTATGTAAGCTTAATAGCAGACGCCATTGAAACTTACCATATTATCGCCCAACAGATAAGGCTCATCTTTTGCCCACGACCTCCCCGGTGAACCCAAAGGGCTATAAGCAACCAACAAAATTTTCTTCTTCTTCAAATAAGCCATAAGGCGCATCTGGTTCAAATATGGATGGCATTCAACCTGATTGACAACCGGTTTAATCTTAGCGATGTTCAAAATTCGCTCAACTTGTTTCTTATTGAAATTAGATATGCCTATGGAGCGCGTCAAACGACGATGTACCAAATCCTCCATTGCTTTCCATGTATCCACGTAATCCACATGCGAGAATAATACACGCCCACACGCGTCATTTGGTATCAATTCTTTCCCCTCCTTAAAGCCCATGGGCCAATGTATTAGGTAAAGATCGAGGTATGATAAATTTAAGTCGTTCAAAGAGCGACAGCAACCCTCCAGCACCAGCTCGGGCCGATGAAAAGTATTCCACAATTTGCTGGTTATAAAAAGTTCATCGCTGAAAGTGATTTAGGTTGGAGAGAGTGGCAATGGATTTAAGATTTAATTAAATGAAAATTAATTAGTTATAGCTTTTTTCACAAAAAAATAAAATAGGCTTAAAGAGCTTTATAATGTGATATTTTCATAAAAATTTTCGATTTACATACATATAAAGTCTTCTTTATCTTTTATGAATTTGAGGGTTAGAATTTACCGATTCACAATGCAGTTTTTTATAGTTTCGTTTATGGCTTTACCAACGGCTTGCTCGTTCTGGTAAACATGAGCACAATCGATCATGCGATAACCCACATTTATTGCGTGCTTGACTGCCTTATAGGCCTGGTCTGTATTCGACTGAAATTGTGTACGAGAAAAATCGAAATTTTTGGAAAAAGTGATGCGCAAATCTAGGTAGATACTTACACCAAAAGTGCCCAGACCAAACAAGGGCATCGTACACCCATCATTCAATTTGATTTTAGGAATTTCAGCCTTTTTCACATTGCAATCGTCGGGCGGTTCCTTAACTGGTTCCAGTCGAGAGACTGGCTTTAAACATTTTGACTTTTCAGGCCTCTTTGTCGCTTTCTTTTCACCGCATTCTTTTTTGGACTTCAAAGTATGCTCGGATTTTTTAGCTGGTGCAGAGCACAACTCCTTAGCAGCATCTTCAACGCCATTCTGGGCTTTTGGAGGCGCTTTGCTAGAGCCTGCGGCCGTTTTGCTATATTTATAATTTTTCAATGTTTTGGAGTCCTCTTTAGTAGGTGACGAATCCTTTGTATTGGACATTGGCTCAATACATGTGCCAGATACAGTCTCCTGCATTGTCGTTGTAACGCAATTTTTCGCTGCGTTATTTGCGCCATTACCTTCTGTTATTTTGTTGCTGAACAAAGTGAACGAAGTGTATGTTTGTATTAAAAACTCAAATTTGGCATTTAGTCCTTTTTGTCTGAAATCAACTTACCCAAATCCCAAAAATTTGAATATGCGATATTCACCGGAATATGCACGAACAAATTTGTTACTCGTAAATTTGCCTATGTTCAATTTTTGCATTCTTCATTTACTAATTGTAGTTTAGAAATAACGGTTAATTTGATTTGGCTATTAACACTATGTGTTTATTGTTCGAAGAAATTAATTTAATGTACATACTTACTATATTGAAAGATATTTGAAAATTTTTATTGACTTTTTGATTCATTTATGTTTAGTTTCTCGACATGATTGATTATTGAATCATGGTTTCTCGTTTTCTTTCTTTCTTTTTTTTCAAAAAGTCAACAATTTAAATCATATCCGGTGCCTGGTTCAAATACTGGCTTTTCCTTATTTGGTAAGATATGTAGATCTGTACCATTTTACAACCGAACAGGTTAGAGGCAATCATTTTCAAACGGATGATGCGGATGTCCAGTGCCACTAAATCATTAAAAAAAAATGAAAATAACGGCTTTTAACAAAGATGGGCTCTAGACAAATTAGAAGGAATCAACATTTTATAGTTACTAAATATTTTTTTGCAATGGCCATAGATGGGTATTGGTTAAGGTGCGCACTGCGATTGTGCCCTTGCACATGGGCCATTCCAGCGAAGATGATACCATAGGTAAAAAAAAAACTTCATGCATTGCGTTTAAATCTGTGGCAACAGTAACAGGTAGAATAATTCTTTAGAAATCCAGTTTTATCGATTTATTTTTCACCATGTGCTCTACTATTATTCTTATAAATGCGATTACCTCTGACATAATATTTTTTCATCAAGTTGTCAAGGTATCAAAGTATTAAAGGCAACAATGCAAAAAATAATTATCCAAAAATTAAGTACAACTCATGGACTTTAAAACAATGCTGAGTTATTACAAAAATACATTTATGTTGAGAGGTTGTCAGCTTTCAAAAAATACTTATTGGATTTCCTACCCGACCTAGAAAAATTTTTGATTTATAACTTAACTTACAGATACGTAAACTTCCCATTGTTTAAATAAGGCCCATTTATTAAAAATAAAATAAGTATTAATATAAAACTAGTAGTGTTCATTTTACTCACGAACTATGTGACCTCAATAGTGAATCTTACCAGCCGTCGCAAAATAGTGTTCCACCCTTCACGAGTTAAAATATATTTGGTTAATTTTCAAATAATGCCGTCAAAGGCATGGTACAATAAAACAGGTAGAAGCCAATTTGACGTCAAACCTACAAAAGTCAAAGTTTTCGGGAGAGTAAAAATAAAAATGAGCGTGTGTAAGGAAAAATAAAAAAATACATTTCACTGGTTGACGTTTTTAAGTATATTTGAAGTTTATTCTTATTTATTTATTTTCTTTAGTTAAAATTTGATAAAACGTGTATGTTGTTTTCTGTTTTTGTTTTATGAGTTGCAGTGTTGTTGGAGGGACTTTTCGGCATAAGGGTCATAGGAACAGCACTTGGCTTCAAACGTGCCTTTCCTGTACCTCCCGGTGTATTTGTGGAATCTACTTCTTTAAAATGTTTAACGCACAGCAAGGCATTTCACTGCAGCTCTGCCCACAGCTGCTTTCGCAACGTTCCTTACGCGAAGGACATTGAGGCACGTTAAAAAATTAGTGGTATCTGCCTTATATTTAACACCACATAAAAAACAACGCTTCAGGTGTTGCATTTTTAACACATACACTAAGTATAAACCGCGCAACACTACAAAAATTCAAATGCAAATTAAAATTTGTTATTAACGAACATTAAAAAAAAACAACGATATGACATTCAAAGCGTAACGAAATATAGGAAATAAAATAAAATCAAGTTGAAGTTTAAAGGTTTGGTTCTCATGAGAGCAACGTCATTTTGGCTTCTACCTGTATTTATGTGCCTTAGTCAAAGGATAAAATTTACTTTAACAGTGTATTATGTAATAATTTGAATTTAATTTTTTAACAGGTGGCAACTCTTTTTTGAAAAAAATAAGATCTTACTGCACATCTACAGGCCTTTAATTTAAAATCTCATTTTTTTTAAATCGAACGACCGGAAGAGATTAATAAAAATGCCTTCGAGTATTATGTGAGTATTCTTCTGCATGGTAATGAACAGTTATTTGGAAAATATATGAAAATGTTTAAATTTATCAGTAAAAAATTTTTTGTAACCGATAGAGAATTGGGCTATTAATCTCAACCTCAATCTAAATACACATCTTGATCTTAATCGTGACCAACCACCACCGCCATCCCCTACCTTCTTCTGGCGATTTTTTGTTTGGAATTAGATCCCAATTAGTGTGTAGTTTTTTTTGTTACATCGATGTTTGCATTTACTTCCAACCGAACGCAAAGAAGTTTCACTTCAAAAATGTTTTTTCCAAGATCTCGATTATAACATAATTATTACAACTTACTTTGACAAGGTTTCTCTGCGAATGTTGCAATTCATTAAATGAAGTTTTTCCAGATCGTCGCGACTTAATTGGAAACTTTCAACCGTCAAATTATTATCCATGTGATTCAGACAAGTTGTTCTTATCAATACAGCATTGCCACGCTGTACTTGATAGCGGATTAAAATTTCAGTAGGTGTTTTCTCATATTTGTTTGCCAAACATAAAATTAGTGGATGTTTCAGGAGTGGGACGATATTATCGACTCCCGTTCTTGGCCCTGTTGGCCCGTAAGCCATGAAAACTATTTTATGCTTACAACATAGGTCCATTAGCTTATTTTGTGTCAAATAAGGGTGACATTCGACTTGTAAATTGGCTGGTGGTATGCGGGCCACTTCAAGTATGCGTTCGATTTGCTCTGCATTGAAATTGGCCAAACCAATCGATCGTACGAGACCCTTATCAACTAAGGCCTCCATTGCAGCCCAAGTATCTACATAGTCGACATCAGAATACATTATTTCACCTCTTGTGTTGCGCGGATAGTCTACGAAACCATCTTTAAAACCCATCGGAGTTTGAATAACATAATTATCCAGAAAATCGAGTTTCAATTGTTTCAGTGTTTCTTCCAGTGCTGGGCGTACGAATTTCGGATGATGTCGCGTATTCCAAAGTTTGCTAGATATGTACAGTTGCTCTCTGAATGCAAGATGATTAAATAGAGGGGGGAGGGGCGGTTCAGAAAACATAGATTTAAAATTCCACATACCGTTTTATGAAGCCTTCGTCGATTTTCTCTTTAATGCCCTTTCCCACTTCCTCTTGATTGCAAAAAGTTGGCGAACAATCTATGTGTCGATAACCACTTTCGATAGCATCTTTTGTAACACGAGTGGCAATATGGGCCTCCAACTATCAGCAATAAAAAAGAAAAAAGTCTGTTGACTGTCGTAGCATATTTCTTTAATTCTTACCCCATTAGTGTTCAATCCAATGATTGGCATTTTAACGCCGTTGTTAAATTGCACAGTTCTAGCAAGCGGACTTCGAAGGCGATTTTCGCGGAGACAGGTTTTTACACAGGGCGCGTACATTATTTTTTCCTAGCCCAGGCTTGATAGAACTGTGAATACTTAAGATTTTAAAGCCAAACTCCGATCGAAGCGCGTTTTTCTATGTTAACGCAAATTTGGAAATTGTTAATTTTCTTAGTAATATTTTTGATGATTTTTCTTTGACTAATATCTATGTTATAATGTCATATCATCGGAATAAAATAATAGTAAAATTTTAACATCACAAGTGAATGTATAAAATGTTTTCTTAAGATAAAAATTAGCGAATATAGTGCTATTTAAGATTTTTTTTATTAAAGTGTACTAAATATTTCAGATACATGTAACCAGCGAAGAAGTAACCTAAAGCTAAAAGATATGTACGTATGTACATATATAAGTATGTTCGGACATATACTTCCTCGTCTTCTTCTTGAGCGCCGTAACCGTCTAGTCGATTTTGGACGAATTCAAATAAGCGCGCCAGTTTGTTGTTGTTTCTTTTTCGAGCTAACTGCCGTCAAGCTATGATTTGAGGGGTGGTTGGTTGGACCATTAATGGAAAAGGAGCATCTGTCGCTGGCTGACGTCCCGTAAAGGCTAATCCTGAAATCCGCGCCAAGCAGAAAATCCTCTGAAGGGGATATGGAAAGATAAGCGCAGGACCTTGCGACGTATTACTACAGCTGCCAAGTAAAGAAGCGAAAATTCTGTGTTAGATTTGTGGTGGGAAAGACAAGTATAACGCCGTTCATCCCGGTGGACGAGAGGCTCGCCACAATCGATGGAAAAGAAGGACAAAGTGTACAAAAGTATTTTCTATGAGCGCTTATATTTAGTGCACCTGCGAGCGCTGTCCCCGTCACGAAATCAAATTCTTTCGATGCGACCTCCACCTCGAAACGTCCCATAACGGACTGAGGCTAAATAATTTGGCTGAGGCCTAAAACATTCTAGTCTGCAACCCTACATTCAGATATATAATAATTGATCAGGCTGCATCCAGATCGAAAGACGATAAAGCAAAGCGAGCATGTTATAATAGACGGAAGGCACTCTTTCAATATTTCTGACGTATGTACGATCCGAGGGCGAAACATCAGGGCTATTCAGGATATTTTGCATATGCTGTTGTATTTGCATGTTCGTTGCTTTGTAAATTCACAACAATAAAATACACACGGTTGTCATGGCAGCAAGTATAAAATTTGCAAATGCAATTCCAAATGTAAATCCAAGACCATTTCCACAACATCCTGAACAGCCCTATCGACTTAGACCACTACCTTGAGGCTAGTGTTGCCATATGTTTTTCCAATCATACGGGACAAACGAATAGTTTGTCCCAAAAATACGGGATTTACAAAAATTTAACGGGAGAAATAAAGGATTTGCTTTAAAAGCTCAACTACGAACCATACATTAACAAAGATGATCCATTTCAACGAAGTAATGTCCAGATTAGTTATAAACTTATGATATAGTTAATATATTTCATGACAACACTTTTTAATTTATACAAAAATATACATGTACGTAGACATATAACTGACAAAACCATAAAAACAAAGTAAGAGACACAATTGCGCTCAAAATAGTAGCAGCAAAATTCAAAATGATGCTGTTGGAACTTAACTTTATTTATTGTCAATAATTTTCATTTAAAAATATAAATAAACATTTCATAGCTTGCACAAAGTTCACAAAAAACGAATTAAAATAAAAAAAAAATGTTTATCAAAATTTCGATTTTTTTAATTAAATTTCCTAGAAAGATTTCGACTTTTATAGCTCATTTACCATCGATTTTTATATATTTTTTTTGTGGAGGGTGTTGCGCATTATTTTCCATATAAAAAAGTAAGTTTTTTTCATTTTTCAAATCAAAACAAACACAACAAAATGAAAAAATCTTTGATATGTGGGTATACAAATTATTAATTTATACATAACATTGCAAATTTTTTGTTTAATCAAAGGATAATTACCTCTTTTGTAACCAAACGTGTTAAGAAATATAAGGAATGCAGTGTTTGTTTACATTCATATTGTTTTGGTTTTCCCTTTTCAATTGATGAGAAGTCAAAGGAAATGCGAATCAAACAGTGTAAACACCTTCAAATGACTGATTTCAAATCACGCACTTTGGACCAATGTAAATGTCATATAAGTCCTTTGTGAATTAAGGTAACAATATAAGGGATAGATATAGGGAATAATATAATGTGAGGGGCCCAAATAAGATATTAGCAATCACTGCCACCTATAAATTGTCGAGTATACAAGTAGATATGTACATATGTACATACATACATACGTATGACTATTTTGTGGATGACAAAATGTCCCCAATGCTCCTCGTGAGCATTTTTCATAGGAAGCTTGATGCATCCTTTTGACTTTGGCCCAATTTAATGATTTGGAAGCCCACAGTATGCAAGAAATAATATCGGAGTTTAAAGTTAAATCACAGAAGGTCTCAAATATTAGAAAGAAAATTTTATGAAAATTGGAGATAGAGTGTATTGAATAAAAGCCCTCGAAAGGAGTTTGTTATTTTTAAGATAGATTGGAAAAAATATTTAAGGCAAGCCGACAGGTCGTATGAGTAATAAAGCATGTAGACGAACATGCCGTATGAGTAACATAACTCTGAGTACTCTGGTTTCACGTTTTCTAGGCTATTACTCTACCTGTAAACCTATCAGAAATTAGTCGAGGGCTAACAAAGCATACTTTTTTTTTGGTAGGGCGGAGCCGACTCGACGTGGCGGAGCGCCGCGACTTGTTTAGCGCGCTCTAAAACGTTTTAAAGCTCGGAAAAATAATGAATTAATGAATTCTATGTGAAAAGACCTGCTAATGTTTCGATCGAATGTGTGATCGAAAAACGATATTTCGAATTTTTGTTTCGAATTTCCACCATGGAAATGGGCAAATTTTTAAAAACGCATAGCACCATAGCCGGTGCAAAAATCTATAGAAATCAAAGTTTTCGAGTATCATAGTTGGGTATTATTATCGGGAATCTCCTGCACAGAAACAGAGTTTTCCGATCGAAAATTATTGATTTTTAGGAATTCTTTACCATTTCTACGAAAAGTTGTTTTTCCCATATAAAATACATGGAACATTTTGAGTGCTTTGAGCGACCTCTAAATATTTTTTGATTTCAAACTAAAAAGATGAGGAAATATTTTTTTCAGTATAGAAAGATCCTAGGCGGTGAGAGCATAAAAATTCCGACTTTACTATTTCACATGCATTTTTGGACCTCCCTAATGTATTTACATACACACACATATACATACAAATATTGTTTAAATTTTCCAAAAATTCCATTCAACAGCCTTCTTAATTGTGTTAATTTTCAAACGGGTGGTGGGGATGCCCTTTTGCGCTGTATAAAATAAAAATATATTACTACATTTTCTATTAATTCTGCTTTAGATACATATTTACTTCTGCATTAGGTTATAGCGTCCGTTAAAATCAAGGCCGTTAATCTCCTGAATTTCCGCTTTATTTAGCTCAAAATCACATACATTGAGATTAGCCGCCATGTGTTCACGACTTGTGGACATAGTTACCACAGCAATGCCACGCTGTACCTGATACCGTAGCAACACCAGCGCTGGAGCTCTTTGATACTTCTCTGCCAATTGAATAATTAACGGATGCTGCATAAGCTTATGTGACCCTGGCTTCTCATATGGTGAATGTGGCGATCCTAAAGGACTATAAGCTGTTACCACAATATTAGTTTGACGGCAGAAATCTATCAATTTGCTTTGATTCAAATATGGATGGCATTCCACCTGCAAATTGGCGGGTTTTATACGCGCCGCTTCAAGTACGCGTCTTATTTGTTCAATATTAAAGTTTGATAAGCCTATCGTTCGACAAAGGCCAACATCTACCAAATCCTCCAAGGCATGCCATGTATCCACATAATCAACGTCAGAAAATATGGTTTTGCCTTTCTCATCTTTAGGGTAATTCTCTTCGCTGTCGGCGAAGCCAGTTGGCCAATGGATGAGGTAATTGTCGAAAGAGGAGATTCCTAACATATTCAAGGCATTTTCACAGGCATTTCGTACCAGTTTAGGATCGTGTTTAGTATTCCACAACTTTCCTGTGATGAAAAGATCTTTTCTAAAAGGTGGATTTTCAATATGTATAACAAAAATAGGACAGGTAAATACATAAGTCGAATTTCTACCTCTCCACTATACCCTCTTTGATTTTCTCTGCAATCGCGCAGCCCACATCTCTCTGATTGCCATAAATGTCCGCACAGTCTATATGCCGGTAACCCACATCGATGGCCTGCTTTACTAAGTGCGTTACCTGACCGGCTGGCATCTACAAAAAATAAAATAAAAAATAAAAATACAAAAACAAAGAATAAAGCATTGCAGTGACATTGAAAATCGATTGTAGCTTTTTTGTTGCACGTGCGATTGGCCATAAGCTTTCGCTACAATGCAGTCTCAATGCCATATGCAAAAGTTTAGTGGCGGTGAAAGACATGAACATACACATACATAAATACACAACAAAGTATATTGCATCGACTTTCTCACTTATTATGTATGAATGAGATATTTCGAGGATATAAACCAACAAAATTTTGTTGGTTATTTAAGTTATCTATCCGTAGTATAGTAGCCATGTTTCTTAATATTTTTTAAATTTCTTACACGCCAAGTGCCAAATCCAACGATGGGCATTTCAACGCCATTATTCAACCTTGTGGTTGGAATTGTCATTTTCGAAAATTCTTTTTCTGCTTTTCTGCTTAAAAATAGCAAATGCTTTGAGTTTGTTATGAGGCGATTGGATGGCGCTCTTTTCTTGACTATTATGTCAGTGCAGAAAGTTAATGAATGACTAGAAGTCAAGACGAAATATGTTTTGTAAAGCTTTTTTATGACGAACATAATTCAAATACCTTGGCCAGCTTTTTTGCTTGATGTTCGAATTTTGTATAAGTATCTGGGAAAGCTCACTTTTACTTCAGTAGTGCTAAAGATTGTACATAAACTTGCAGTTTTAAAATTAATTCATACTAAGGGGGAGTGCAATGGGGTATAGCCGTTCTTCTGGGTATAAAGTTGCAGTTGCACGCTATACTCAATCCCGAATCCTGCGTCTCCGTTCGCGCACTCTGGGCAACGTGAGCAACCCTTGTGCGAGATGCGGTAATCAACCCGAGTGAAGCCTTGGGTCACGGCGAAAGGGAAGGAGGTCCGGTTTAAGAGTTCACTGAAGTCTGCAGCGTCTGTTCATCAGTAGGTGCGGCTGCAAGCGGGCGTCTGTCTTGCAGCAATTGGTTCGCTATATAATGGTTGTGCGCTGGGCTTGGGACCCGCCATGTAAAAACGCCAACCCATGAAAATATCAAAATGGCCTCGTATGTAACTTTTTAACCACGTGGCAACCCTCTTTAAACATTCCAAATGTTTAAACTAAAGAATTATTAATATTCTTTCGTTTGACTACGGTATTTTTATATTTCATATACTTTTTGAATTAGTTAATTGAGTTAGAGCTTTAAAACAGGTGGCAGCCCTCTTCAGAAGTATTTTCAAGCTTAATCCTTGTTAACTCTCCCTCGCCGGACATTTCGATGTATATTTAAATTAACTGATGAATTAAGTGGAATTTTATTTTTTAAGCATGTGGCAATCCCTAAATACAGTTCAGAAATACACATTTTCAAACCCTCTTCGATTGATGCCCATATTTTGAAAATTCATTTAACTTATTAAATAATTTGAATTTAACTTCTTAAACAGGTGTCAACCCTCTTCAAAAACCTCAATAATATTCTTAGAGTTCAAACTAAAGATTTTATAACACTCCTTCGTTTGAAATCAATATTTTCATATTTCGTATATCTTGTGCATAAGTACGCTAAATTCGACATTTCAAGCAGGTGGCAACACTCTTCAAAATATTTTCAAACTACTCTTTTTGAAACCCCTTTCGTTTGGCACCCATATCGTGATACATATTTCTCTTACCTTATATGATTTTTTAAACAGGGTATCGATTTTGTAATAATTGATTTATTTCTTTATTTTTTTTAATTTGAATATAAGTGCGGACATGATGGCCTTGACTATTAAAATAATTTGAATTTAAATGTTCAACAGGTGGCAACCTTTTTCGAAAAACGAAAACTAGTTTGTACATCTACAGACCAAGCGCCTTAATTGGACATCTCATTTTTGAAAATCGGGCGACCAAAAATCGATTCGTGTATTATATATGTACATAGTATGTATATAGATAGTTGATATAAGTTGTGTTTAATGAGCTGCTCTAGGTGACGCCAGGTTAAGATATCTTAAAAAATTTTGTTTCATGAGGATTTTTCTTGCTCTAACTTACTCTACTTTTTGTTTCATGAGTCTGCGCTTAGTTGAACTAGAGCAACTTAGAGCACGATTTTCTGTACCAGCTTTTTTAATGGAGTAACTTAGAGCAAGCAACTGTTTTGAGAACTTCTGCCTGAAAAGTGTTTCATGAGATTTCTGATCTGAGTTGCTCCAACTTGCTCTATTGTTTTTTCACAGCTGCTCGATTTTGCTCTAACTTGAGCTGCTCTGAACTTTTTGCGGTCTCATTAAACACAACTATAGATTCTCCTTTCGCGGGTCTTTTGCAAGTCTTGGAATATGGTGAATACTAGGTCCAATTAGTTCGTTGACGAAGGACTTTAGGCCTTCATACAATACGCTATATAATTCTTTAAAAGGTTCTTTTTAGAAGGCTTATCCCACATATGGCGTAGTTCTTTCTTGACGATTAGACATATCACACTTAAATACTAGCCTTGGTTTCATCTTCTCCATTGGTTTCAGTACTGTTTCCATTAGGGATGGAAAAATCGATTCCGATTCCACTCCGGAATCGAAGATTTTCTCGAAATAATAGATTTTAGAGAATCGATTTTAAATTTTCCGAATCAATCGAGAATCGATTCTGAGAACTCGATTATCTTATTTTTCATTACATCTTTAGATACAGTTCAGTAGTTAGTATAGTGAAATTATGAAATTTCTGGCATGACTAATATAAATATTAAGTAAGACTCATTGGTACATATTCATAGAGATGCTAAAAATAAATTTATGAAAAGAAACAATTTTGAAAAGGGTATTCAAATTTATTTCCTTTCCATATCAAACAGTACCGTGAATATATATTATTTCTTGGATGGAGGTAATGTCAGCCTTACTCATCCTGACTACATCAGTCAGCCGGGCAAAGCATCTTTCCCAAGTTCTCAAGAGGGACAGGTCTACGTAAAGGAAACGACCCAGATTCATATCTGGCTGTTACAACAACAACGACGGTACCTTTCCCATTAAGGCTGCAAGCCATAGTTCTTAAAAGGTACACCATATTCGTCATAAAAGAAGGAGATTTTAATAATTATGTCAGTGTTGTACCAAAGACATGTAAACAAACCGACTGGCGTTTTTACAGGAAATAGTGCTTTTTGCGTTCCCGTACGCTTTTGCATCTGTTCAGTGTGACCGCGGGCTTGTGAAAAATTGTAGCAGAAAAGAGACTTTAAATGTATCAGTATGTATCACTTTTTTTCATTTAAGTATCAAAGCATAAATATGGAATCAAACCAATACTTTTAATGAAAACCCATTTTCCAAAACAATTTAACATTTATTGCACGAGCAAGTTGAAATTATTTCCCGAATGCGATTTGCGTAATTTCAGTTGCAGTTACACCTTGCAATTTTTATTGCCTACCAACTGTTTTTGAATGATTTTGATGTCTTGATATGTATAAGCATTTGCCGCATGACGCCGCCAGACAACTTTCTCTCAATTTCAGTGTTTTAAAACATTTAAATCTTAAAAAAAAAACTTGCTGAATAACTTCCTAAAACGTTATCATAAATAATCCAATAGGGAACAGATTCTTATTTTGATTTAATATTAATATTTCATCGATGTTAGCACCAGCACGCTTTCTTTCAAGTGAAAATATGGCTGCCAAACTGTCAAATTGCCTGCAATAGATGTCAAGCAATAAGGCGGTATCCATTGAAAATATATTTTGTGACATGGTTGTCACGACATTGGTGTTTTCCTGTGGAAACAGGGCCTTACCGAGCTCCGAATTGCCGAGTACCAAGCCCTAAAGCCTGATATACAGTTCAATGCGAGCGTGAGCGTGAACTTTTTATTTTGACCAATACTTCGTTATTACTCAACTTTTTGCTATAGTTGAGACATGAGAAGATAGAGAATTAAAATATCTTTCAGAATTATAGAATAAAAACTAATTTAAAATGCATAATATGCCTTTTTTCGAGCCCACACTCAACAGTGTGCGTACGCAAAGCCTTCGCATGTGAACGGCAAGTTTTGACAGATGTGTGTGAGCGTCCATAAGAATACAAATGGAATTCTTTGACTTTGCGAACGTTCACGCTCACGCTCGAAGAGCTGCAAAACTATCGATTGTACTATCGATAGTATCGATAGTTTTATTTTTGGAAAAACATCGATTATTTTCGGGCGATAGTCGATAGTTTCGATAGTGCCGGTGCATTGAAATTTCGTCATCTTTACTTAAATAAGTGACGCTTTGAATTTAACTAAGGAAAATACTTAGAATTTCACGCTTAAGATGTAATATTTATACTTACATATGTATGTGCAATATTTTCATTTACATATGTATATATTATACACATTTTGTTCGTAGTTGAAGGTTCCGTACATATACAACACGATAGTATACGATACTATCGAAAATGTCGATAGTTTTTTTCAAACTATCGAATGGCGTCACTATCAATAGTTTTGCAGCTCTACACGCTCGCATTGAACTGTATATCAAGCTTAATTTTTGTTATTGAACATAGCGAAAATAAAAAAAATGCAACGCTATGATATTGTTCGTTTGTTCACATTTTGACGTTTTTCGTCATGGACCATGAATACCAACACACGAAATGTTCGTTCAGTGAACGACAATGAACTTTTGGATGTACGTTGTCACAGGTGCACGACATGTTTTGCAATGCATTTAAATTTACAAATTTTTTTCATTTGTATTTGGAAAAGTATCAAAATTGAAAAAAGTATCTACAAAATTCATCGAAAATGTATCACTTTTGATCGACTTGGATCGAAACGGTAACACTGCATCTGTTCTCCTGTTACTCTCACTTGAGAGAGTAAAATTGTATTTTGACATTTCACAGGTTTTAGTCCGAAGTTCAAAGGAACATACTATTTGTTGTGAGTATGTATTCATTAAATCGTCCTCCTAAACACTCTGTTTACATTTGAATTTGAAACTGTAGCTTCACAATGAACTACGAGAGGTCGGATTTGTTTGGGAACATATTTCCTATTGCACTTAGCACGTGTAGACTGGAAAAGTAGGAGGCATACTTTTTCTCGCATACCGAGCGGTTTGCGAGCTCTCGCGTGCTTTCAACTATCTTTTTTGTTGTTTGACAGGTTTTTTCTCATTTCGCAGAGTTCTTCAGAGTATAAACATCGTTTATTTTGGTGGAAAATACAAATTTAGCCTGAGAAGCTCGAACCTTCTTTTTTGGGCGACATTTTGAAAATGAAAAAGTATGCTGTCAAAAATGCCTAGTCAACAAAACTCTATTTCGTTTGCGAGAGAAAAAGCAGAACGCAAGCGAGATTTGCAAGCATGTGAAGGCTACCGGTTATCTTCAAAAATAGCTTACGTGGCAGCTGGCAGCTCTACTTCCGTTCAAATTTTAACAGCTGATTTCCGATAGTGCATTTCGGACTTAACTATCAGAATTTCCCAAGTTGGGAAATCGGTTGTCGTAAGAGGAAATTTTCGGCGTTTTTAGAGGAAAAACTAGTAAGATTTGGTTAAAAATTACAAATTGTGTCCAATTAAACTGTAAATAAAGAATTAAATTATTAAGTGCAGAAGGGTATCTGGCGGCAGTTTTTCTAACAATCTAGTGTTTGATTACGTACTATTATCCACGGAAAAGTTATAGCGCCTTGTACCGCCCAAAAGTAAAATCAATAACCTGTGATATGCCCACTATAAATGTTCCATAACATTTTAAAATTATTAATTTTTAATTAGCATGAAAATGAAATTCGGATTATTGTAGATTTTTCGTGATTGTGGAAAAACATCTACATACATCGTCTAGCGGCAAGTCAACGAACACACACAAAAGGTATTTTGTAAATTGTTGGCGTACTACATATATTCAATCTGCAGACGCAGCACTCCAAAGGATCATTTGCGCTTACGCCCATATTCGCTAGCGCTGCTTTTGTTCCCGCGTACACATGTGAAATGAATAGCCCGTTCTTGTGTGCATTATATTTATAAATTGAAAAGTACCTGAATGCATATGCAAACAAACTCATACAGTTCGTGCATATAAATTCACCGTCACGCATAATACTATCAGTGTCAAGAATCGTTTTCTAAAGTGTACTATCAGCGCCACGGCAGAGAGAAGCAGCTATTTTTGCTAGTGACAGGATATTTACTATCAGCACTTTTGCTCGTATTATCAGTTACTTGGATACTATTTTGTTTGACAAAGAGCAACAGCATGTCTATTGCGCCAGTGATAATTGAGGCAACAGCCAAACACACGTCAACGGTAAGTGGATTGCATAATTACATACATATACTCATTATAGTTATATCCATATATACATATACGAAAATCATGGCTGAACGATTAACTAAAATATTTGTTTGTGTTTAACTATTTCGGCCTTTGCAGCTCATCTTTATGCACGGCTTAGGTGATACCGGGTATGTTAATAACAAAGGTGTAAGCTTTTATTTATGTATAACTTTTATGCAAAGGTATAACTACAGATCCGATGCAAACGTATGTATATGTGTTATTCAGGTTTCTAAGCTTGCCTAATAAATTATTATGTGTTGATGTAAAGGTCAAGGTGATTTGTGTAGAACTGTTTTATATAAAGTTAGTCACAGAATTATTCGTTGTTTAGTGTTTTCATTACAGATCTTTTTCGTTAATTTTCATATAAAATATAGCTCATACTACAATCATAACCATATACATCAATGTTGCAATCTTTCTGTAACGCAAAAACAAAATCTATTTTTATATGGAAGAAAATGCGCTACAGCCTCGACAACGAAATTCTAAAAAAATAACGGTAATTTTTACCTACTTAAATTTTGCACTTTACTATTCCTACTGAAAATGAAAAAATTCTCAAAAATGCGGTTAAAAATTTGATATTTTTAAGGCCGTTTATTGAAATTCGCTGAAATTTTGCGTATTTTATAGAACGATTGCAGCATTGATTTATATGGTTTTGGTTGTAGAATGAGCTATATTTCAAATGAAAATTAACAAAAAAGATTTATAATGCACGACATTTTATATGTCGCGAAAAAGCTAAACAACGAATACTAATGTGAGTAACTAGAGAATTTATATACTTGATAATCATAAGCAAATATGCTAATTTCAAAGGCATATAGTATGCGTATCTGCCGGTTTCGTATTTTCTACCGGAAATAGTAAACTATTTATAATTTTTCTATTTTCTAATAAAGTATATCAAAACCTACAATAAAATTATAACTTCAATAGATAGTAAAATAATTAAATGTTTTCTTATCAGTTTCGTTTACGAAGCGTTCATAGTCAAACCAAAGTTCATTTGTTACACAAAGACGATCGCTTAAAAAAATGTGTGATAATTTATGTATTAGAAAGCTTTGCCCTGTATAGGTAGTTATGCTATATGTTTTTATTTTACATGCATATACATATGTAGTATCGAACGATGTTTATTTATAATGCATTGTAATGTTATATAAAACACTTCGGGGCTTAGTTTAAAAAATTTTTTTTTACCATTTCAATTCCAATAGCAAACTTTATTATATTAAAATCTTTGGTTTACAATAATTAGGTTCACTGACTTGAAAAGAGTTCGTTTATTAAACTGANATTTTTTACCATTTCAATTCCAATAGCAAACTTTATTATATTAAAATCTTTGGCTTACAATAATTAGGTTCACTGACTTGAAAAGAGTTCGTTTATTAAACTGATAGACCGATTAAGGTCAGACTTTGGCTCGAATACGAAACTAGTAATATTAATAAAAGATTGCGCTTACACAATATGTTAGTTTTTGGACGAGCTTCTCAGAGGGGCGGCTACTATTAGAAAAAACTTTCTGGTTTTTTTATTCTTTTGATGTTGGTCGGAAAATGGGCCAGAACCCAGGTCCTGTGTAATGGTAGCGCGCACTGCTAATAGCTAAAATTAACAAAGGCCGACTTTGATTCTCTTTAACATTCTCTTCTGCCACTCTATAAAACTGAGTATTATATTTATGTATATTAGGGTGGCCCAAAAATTAACAGAACAATAAACTTTTTGGAATTTTTTTATTGCAATTTATGAAATTCTTTTATTTTTAAATCGGTTAATATAAATCGTGCCGCTGGGGCACGATATTTTACATGGCAAAATACATTTTATCGCAGAAATGTTATCAAATCGAATATTTCCCTTCAGAAGTTTTCCGAAAATTAAATTATGATGCTTATTCAACTTTAATTGTTACTATTTTTTATATCGTGCGTGTTAAGCTGGATTTCAACTAGGCATTAAATCGCGAAAATGACAAATGACAAAGTCGGGCATTAAAAAATAATCGTGTCATCCATTAAAAACATAGTCATTAAGTTCATTTCCACATGGCATTTTTAAAATGGCATAAATTTTTTGTCATTTCAATGCCTAGTGGAAATTCGGCATTAGAGCTCAACCAGCTGCCGACGTAAAATCGTAGACTGTGTCAGCTCCGATCATGATACGACCTATCTTATCGGATCTTCATGTTAACGAAAACTCACCACTGCATGACGGTGACGTTGTCGTTGATTCGGATGGTAAGTATGGAAGGGCGCTCCGTCGGGAGCTGGTTGAACCATAACCGATTTCAAAATAAAAAATTGCCAGTCAGTTTATTTTTGACATTCTTCAGTTCTAGGGGATGGTTGAAAAAAAAATTGCACCACCCTAATGCATGTACATACATACATATCTTTGTATGTACATATATCATAATATTGTGCATGCTACAAACCATACATATGTATGTGTAATACATATTATGCATTAAAGGAATTGCATTAGCATGTCACGTTTGACCTACAATTCTCTATACGATAGACTGGTTCGAAATGAAATCAAATTGTATACATATGTGATATGATTGCGAATCTGTTCTCTGCAATAAATTGGATCGTGTCAACAAGAATGCAAGACTAGGCATTTTTCGTTTGCTACCAGACCATTCAGGGTACGAAACGAATTCGTTTAAATACTTTTTTCCGCCTCTGTATTTCACTTTTCTCTGCATCCACTTTTCACTTGGTATAAAGCTATATTTTTCAGGAATTTAACTCAAAAAGAGCGTTCGTTAGGGCTTTTAAATTTTTCTTTTATTTTAAAAGTAGCAAAATGGATAGGCCGGAACTACTTGTTCAACAGAAATTAAGTCAATATTTATTGCAATGCCTTAGGGGCCCATAAGAAACTTTTTTTAATATAATTTAACTTCTTCAATGAAACTTGTTTTTAATTTCATTTCAATGTAGTAAGTGAATTTACTTACATACATACATACATATGCATGTACACACATCTGTAAATATATTGTGCTATTTGATACTACATATTATGTTTTATTTCCTATTTTTCTTATTCCACCACTGTAGTCATGGATGGAGTTCAGCGTTGGCGATGATACGTCCGCCCAGCATGAAAGTAATCTGTCCAACAGCACCCACAATGCCGGTGTCATTAAATGCCGGCTTCCGTATGCCTTCTTGGTTTGATTTACGTACGCTCGATATATCGGGTCCCGAAGATGAGGAGGGTATTAAAAGTGCCGCTCAAAATATTAAAACAATGATTGATGATGAAGTAAATAAGGGCATAGCATCGAATCGCATTGTGCTAGGAGGCTTTTCGCAAGGAGGTGCGTTAGCTCTGTATACAGCGTTAACATATAGTCAACCATTAGCTGGCATCGTGGCGCTGTCCTGCTGGTTGCCATTACACAAACAATTTCCAGGCATTAAAGCCAATGCTGATGATATACCAGTGAGTGGAAGATACAAATACATGCATTCATGCATTCATATCATGCGCTAACGAATTCTTCAAATTTGTTCTCTGCTTATTCTTATAGATTTTTCAGGCGCATGGTGATTTTGATCCTGTTGTACCATACAAATTTGGTCAATTAAGCGCTAGTTTACTGAAGACATTCATGAAAAATGTCACATTCAAGACATATAATGGACTATCGCATTCCTCATCCGATGATGAAATGGACGATGTGCGGGTGAGATAAAATGCATTTTTTATGATATATGTAGGTTTAATAAATTAATATGTAATTCTTTCCATTTCTGCTGTAGGATGTACTGGCCTCTTGGGTAAATTAAATTAAAAACCAACAACAATAAAATACACTAGTAAACAAAATGAACTTACAAGTTAGTGTGCATAGTTTAGCGCGTCCGTACATGTACATACATATATGCATGTAAATATTATTGGCTTGGCGCTGAAGGCGTACTTGCAAAATCTGGCTTAATTAAAATATAATCTGACTAAGAAAATAAATTAAGGTTCCATTGCTTTTAGTAGTCAGTTCAAAAAAAAAAAAATACAAGTTACAAAATAATTAGATGCAGACTAAAATTTTTGCCCCAAAATTAACAAGGAAACATGTTATTTGAAGCTGTTAAAAAAAGCGTAATACGTAATTTTAAAAGTCTGCTTAAACACATGCAAATACATACGTAGTTTGTTTTACTTACAAATTGTTTAAGTTCTTACCTACAACGAAAGTACACTTCTTAATGAACGCAAATATATTGATTAAATTTTAATTTATTGCCAAGTTGTTGGCATTAAGTTTCTCTTTGATTATACAAAAATGAAATTCAATGTGGAACGCTAATGAATTATCTATTATTATGTGTCTGTCAATCAAGTATTTACTAACAATTTAAACAAATTAGAAAATGTCTTGAAATTAAAAACATAAAAACAACAAAAATTGATGTTATGAATTTGGATATGCTGTTAAAAATATTTAAGATTGTCTATTCATTTGCTTAAAAACTTATTAGCTGCTTGTGAAGCACGCTTTTAAGATTCATATACCTTAATTAGTTTTGGAAAAAATTTAACATCCATTTTTTATATATAATTTTTTTTTTATTCTTTTTAGTAGTAATTAAGCAGGTTTTATAGATTTCTGAGCATATTCATAACGAGTAGTAGGACGTTTATTTCAGTTATAAAAAATTGAGTTCGGAGAGAATCTAAAAAAATTTCTTGAGCATTTGATATGTGATTTCTGAATTTGATTTGTAACTTTGATGCTTCTTGGAAAGTTATCTGCCAAGGTCGTTAAGTGCGTTCCCGCAAGGCAGCAGTAGCTTTAATTTGAAACAGCGTCAAATACTCCCCAAAAGATATTAGGCCAAAGGGATGTTGCGTTACCGTTGAACCGGCTACCGTACGAAACCCATCTGTAATATTTCTCCAAAATGCATGGCAGCGTCTATAATACCACCACAACAACAGTAACAAAATATGCTATACACCCAGCAAGGATGTACCTCTCTAGCGCTATCATTAAGAGATGTTAGGCTCGTTGCTATAGTTGAAAAAATTACGTATATCCTCCCTCTCTTTGTAAGAAAATCTAGTATGGTTTTAAAATTTTGTTTATTTGCTTAGGCAATACCGGCAGGTATGTTTTAGAAACGCGAATAAATCTGGTACTGTTGTAAATATATTTTTGAATTTTAGTAAGGACCTGTACATGATAGATAACTAAAAAAATATAACAAAAAGGAAGCCTCTGCATTGATGATGGCGATATTTCTATAAATTTAAAGTTGGAGTGGCATAGACAACTTCCTGTGGTTTTTGTGAGATGCTGTTGAAATTACAGCTATTGACAGTACGTAAACCCAAAATCTGTAGGCAGGATTAATATATCGTTGTGAGAAATCTATTAAATTTGGAGCTCATTTTTAATTTTTTTCTCATTCAAATACACTTAAGCTACATACAACACAATTTGTTGAAATAAAGCATAAAATTGAAATTAACTGAAATTTGAAGCATTTTTTATTCTATAAATATATTTTTTGGGATAATTTGGTTCATTTTCTGTTCACAATTGCACAATTTAAAACTGCGACAAATAATGCTAACTTTAATTCATGTGAACGCCTATATTTCATTGATTTTGAGAATCTTTTTCATATTTAAGTTTTGCTGCATTAATTTACATTATATATATTCTTGTTAATAAATCCTGTTTAGTGTTGTTTCATACATTGCGTTTGTTCATTTTGAGTACATCACTTATATCTTCATGTATATTTGCAGAGTGGTGACAATAGAAACAGTAAAACGTCGAGGCTGGATGTTAGCGGAAATGCCACAGCGCAATGCTGTCTTATATCATAGTAGCAAATCTGTGATTTTCTTTGATGGTGATTGTGATGATGATGTATGAGAGGCACAAGCACATTTTTATTAATGCAACATAATACATGACTCATAAACATAATACTATCTAATGCAAAAAGCTGGAAACCCACAAGAAAACTAGCGTAAAAAAAAACATGCAGCAACTCAAGCAACTCAGAAATTAACTTTTTTCAAGTAGCTTAAATCATAATGAGTATTAAATTAACTAACTTCTCTAGTAGCCTAAATTATTAAGAAGTTCCGCGTGTATTTTTACCAGCACGCATACAAAATCCTCAATAATATCTAATATTAATAAGTCTTGCACTGTATTAAGTCTGGCGCAATATTTTTTTATTTTATTATCTTTAGAAATGGTAAAAAAATGTAGGCGATCATTTCTGCTGTTAAAGTTGTTAAACAGAAAATATACATATGCCCTTAACGTATAGTGTAGCGTGACTGATCTATATTATTATATTATTATTATTATTACTATTACAAGTAGCGAATTGTGAAATGAGAGCAGTAAAGAAAGTAAGAAAATTATGAACAATGAAAACTGAATAAAAGACAGAAATGGATTTACAAAATAATACCATAAACTTAGCCTGCATTATATCAATTACACATCCAAATGCAATTTAAAGCACGCAAATCGATAATGTCGACTTTTGGGATTGCGTAGTAGACACATAGGTTGACGTACATTTGTCTGACAACATAACGCAAGCAATTGCTTTAAGCCTGCCGGTGTGACATAGCCCACCGCACACACCGTCGACTCAGTGTAACTGAAATGAGCTGTCGTCGCATAGCCGAATACTTCACGTTGGCATTGCTTGCGCACACTGTACAGTGTAGTGTGATCTTCCGGCAACCAAAGCTTGCACATGCGTTTAAGTTGCTCAGCGACAAGGGTGGCTGTATTAGCAGGACTAATATACACCCGGGTTTTACTTGTCTCCTGTGAATATATTGGCAAAATTGATATCAAGCAAAAAATTAAATTTTTTTCTGCAACAAACGTACCTGTTGTTTGCGCTTTACGCGCACACGTTTTGCGCGTAAACGCTTCAATAGCTGTTTGTGAGTCTGCCGCAAGCGTTTGCGTTCACGCTCGGCCAAATCTGGCAATAGTGGTTCGGTAAAGACAGGTTCATGATTTCCCATCCTTATCTGCCTAAGATTGCGTTTGAAATCGCCGCGTGTGGGTACGCAAATTAACGAGAAGTCTTCCAAATTGCCACGCGATTTCATTCGGAAGTACAACTGTATCAGACAATTGTTTGGTATCTCAATTGGAAATATTTTGCTCTTCCCCTGTATGTGTAGCAACAGCTGTTGCAGCAACGCGCGGTCACGTAGTATATGAAAGGTATTTGTTGTTAACTCTGATATCTGTGTAGGATCAGTTGTCCAGTCGCGTATGAGTTCAGTGAATGGCGCACGAAATGGACTCACTATCGCCATTTTCTTATAATTGTGACGCTTATTGGGCGGTTTACGGAAATATTTGGCACTTAGTTCTTGATGACGAGTAGCAGCGAGCACACGACCTACATACATGTGTAAACAGAATATTAACTCCATCAAATGCAACATCCAAAAGGTCTACTCACCAGCAACTGTGTCTGGCAAATGCTCCTCTGTACCCATCTCACGTGCAATGGTTTCGAACTCCCTTAGTCCGCCAGGTTTGGCACCCCACATGATGAGGGACAGCCAAATGGGCATACCATAGCCAGCTGGCATGATCACATCCCAGCCACAGCCATAACCCAGACGTTTATACTGCTCGCGCTGTGAACCTGGACGTTGTATCAATATTACTGGCACAGCCTGCATTTCATCTTCGAATTGACAACGTGCCCCCGGTACTACCGCATGCTTAGCCCGCAGCTTACTATACGCACTGGGTGTTATCATGCTCTTGCAAAGCCCGTCCCGCACATCCATGTTCCATAAAACACTTTGCGCTAAATGATCTGACATATTTAGCAGAAGCTCCAGACGGCTTTTGCTTGAAAGCTGGGATGGTAGTGCTTTTGTACGTTTTTTCGGGCGAGTTAAACGTGGATCTTCGATGTTTAGTGCTAGTATCATGTTTGAAAGTAATTCTCCAGGTGAACCTAATTCAGCGCAATTCTGCCAAAATTCAGATTGTTTGTCATGCACTACTTTTGAGGAAGTATTTTCTTTAAACCACTTGTGCAACCAAGTAGGTTGTGCGTCTTCTTTGAAACATTTTGGTTTGAAAGTGTGTATGAGTACACTTTGGGCGAGGTGACCCGTGAGACGGAAGCGATTCATGACATCTTTCAGATCGTTTAGTTCTATACATAATTTTGTATTTCCATATCGCTTTATGCGCTCAAAAGCTAAAGTTTTCGTCATGAATTGTAAGCGACGTTGTTCATTAGGTTTTCGCGGCTTCGTAGCTGAAAATACAAAATGAGTACATACTATATGTAGCATACAATTTTAATATATATCCTAATTCAATTACTTTACATTTCACTTGCATCTCATTGCCATCTTTGGTCAACGGTTTATCAGGTTCAATAGGCACTGTGATACTACTCAAGGAAATAAGTTCAAACACTTTTATCAATTCCTCCAGCACAGCAGGATAAGCGCTTGGATGCACCCACAGCCAAAGCGTACGTGGTATTTCTTCCTCATTCACCGCCTCACCAGTTGGCTGCCACATGAAAGAAACACGTCCCAGAGCATACTCGGGATATTTACCATCTCTAAATAAATCTATACTGCCTTCTCTTCGACCAGTGGCATATGTTTTTGCGGCGATACTAAGTCCGCATTTAGGGCTGGTTAACCTTGTGAATCCCTGGCGCAAATCTGCAAATTTTCCTTTCAATTCAATACATACATAGAACGACATATCCTGCAGCAAACAGTGTTCCGCCGAAGCGCGATAGCATGCTCTGTAAGTTTTGTCACAGCTGGATTGCGGTAAACGATAGCCCCAGCGTTCGACCATGTGAAAACGTTTTGCATGCCAAATGTGTGTTTCTAGCCAAACGTTTCGCCGCTGCCGTCTCAGGTAATCTCGCAATAAGTTACCAGGTCGTCGGCGATACTTACGCGACGGGCGCTTTGACTGCTGAGGCTTGCCCGCTTTAGCCATTTGAGAACGATGTGCAGCGCGATATTTACGTGGCAATCGCTTTGGATGATGGGACATGGCGCGACGACGCATATGCTTTGGCAGGGTTTGGAAGACCAACTTGCGGCTGACAGGATTGCGCACTTCATCAATCAGTTGGCGCATCTCCTGCACAACATTGGCGGCGTAGCGGAATGTGGGAAGATGAGTGGGTAAATTCACAGATCCACCCAAAGTCGAATCATATTCCAGTTTGTTGGAAGCCATAATCTATAACTTTTTGTCACGAGTCTATTTACTTTATAAAAAATGTGATTTAAAATAATCACAACAAATAGCATGAGAAAGAACGTCAATGCACCGCACGTGTAGATAGCGGACTTGCAAAGTGATGTAAATATTGGAGCCAATTGCAGGGTGCTTAAAGTGAAAAGAAGTTAGTCCTTACAGACTAATATTTTTCTCAAGAATATAAATATTTACTCTTTCTAAACAAAATTATGTGTATTAAATAAAAAAATTCTTAAATTGGTTAACTTAGTATACAATATTATGTTGTATAATTAACAATAATTGCTATTTATAAAAGATCGTGTGGGAAAAATATTTTAAATGTGGCATTTTAACACTCTGTACTGCATTTCCTTTCGCTGTCAAGGGAAGTTTTGGCACACTTGTCTATCATTTCCGCATCGGAATTTAAACGCCAAGTTTTATCATACAATTTTTACAAAGTAAATGTATATTAATATTGAAACCTTTGTCTAATCGCTAAACACAAGCTAAGTACCTCGACATGCAAAGGTAACTGTTATCTCTGGTTCCAGGACAATAGGTATATTCTTTCACATTTTCGGACAAGCTTTTTGTTGAAGGCGAGGCTCATTTTTTCATATAAAACAATCGTCGAGCATGCCTTTATGGAAGAAAATGTCTGTCATTAAAAAAAAAATAAAAAAAAAATTGCCATAAATCAACGGTATGTCCCAGCTACTTTGAACTTGTTGTACTAAAATTGAATAGGTCAAAGACTGAAACTTGGATTTATATGGCTTAATTTAATATATTTTTATAAACCAATATTAAAAAAAAAAAATATGACAAATGATCTAATCTTGTCAGATTAGATGAGAGTCGTTATGATAATATGTGAGATAAGTTATGAAAAGCACTATACTTATTTTTTTTTGAAACAAGGATGGGTATTTGGAGGAGATTCTCTTATTTTTGAATGTGGCATCACAAATAATTTTGTGGATATTTTGTCTCTTTGAGAGCGAATGCTGATCTCTAAATTTTCGCTGTGAATACATGTATACAATCCCTACAAGAATTGTGTGATGGAAACTAACACATTCTCATTTACCTTACTAACACATGTACAAACTTTGCGTTGGTTAAAAAGAGACAACTAAATAATGCCATAAGTCGGAGGAAGGCGGAACACAAATGTTTACATCAGATTTTTCACACTGCCCTTTAGCCAGTGACAGAAATCTCTATCAGTCTTGCCACTCAAATGATTTGTCAAATGATAGTCACTGTTCTTGCAGGGATGTTCACTCTACATACATACATATGTAGTTAGTGTCAAATGTTAGTGTACATCTTGTTCTAATATAATATTCACAATTATTTTCATAAAAAAATTTTCATTTATTAGTTATGAATATATAGTTCATTCTATAATAAAAACCACATAAATCAAAGTTTCAAATTTTATATAAAGTTCATAAGAATTTAAAAAATTTCTATCAAAGTTTCAACATTTTATGCAGAATTTCTAGAAAATTTTTGAGTCTGCGGTGTTGTAGCCCGTTCAATTTTAGCAAAACAACATGCAAGTTCCAAGTCGCTAAAAATTACCGTTGATTTTTTAGAATCTTTTTGAGGAGGATGTTGCGCGTTTTTTTCTGTATAATGCTTAATCAAAATCTATTTTTATAAAGAAGAAAATGCGCGAAACCCTCTATATAACTCATAACAAAAATCTATTTTTTATATGGAAGAAAACGCGAAACACCCTTTACAAAAAAAAAATGTAAAACCTCTACGGTAATTTTTAGTGACTTGAAACTTATGCTAGAATTTAAAAATTTTATAGAAATTCTGAATAAAAATTTTGAAATTTTGATAAAAAATTGTTAATTTTTATGAACTTTATACAAATGCGGTCAACTAATTAGAAATTCAAAATGATATTGTTTGCAAATTATGTTTATTTATTTTTTTTTATAAATTTAATTTAAAATATAATTCAATCTAAAACAGAAACCACGGTAATAAAATTTTCAAAATTTTTAGTTAAAATATTTAGAAAATTTTCGGGTATGCAGTTTTGTAGCTCATCCAATTTTAGATCAATAAAGTGGAAGTTAGAAGTCGTTAAAAGTTACCGTTGATTTTTTAGAATTTTCTTCCATATAATACATGATACATTTTTATTTTTATTTTTGACATATATGGATTATATTATAGAATGAACTACATTTTCATAAATAACGCAGATTTAAGAAAAGTTTCTGCATATTGAACCAAACCTCCATATCCCTATGGTATTCGAGAGGTGTTGTTTGGAAAGTTGTTATTGAGCTGAAGTCATTCTTGACACAAATTTCTAGACAACACTACTGTGGGTGCCAAATGTACAAATGATCCCTGCTTAAGTTTCTTTACCACAGTTTGCCCCAGGCGCACTTATTTTTTTTTTTTGTGTTATGACGGTCTTCCAGAAAACGCACGTTATGGTTAGATCTACATACATATGTACTTATTTACGTTTTGGCTTTTTATTTTGCTTCGCACATTCGCTTTTGTTGTTAGCAAAAACTAAATGAACTTAAGAAATAACAAATTAAAACAAAACAATTGTTCCCGCCAACCCCAAACAAGCAGCAATCTAGCAGTAGCAGTGGCAGCAACAGCAACGACAACAGTAATGCTGTACTCTACGCTGCTGCTTGTTACTGCTGCTGATTTGTGTGTTGCGCAGCACTGACTTTTGGAGGCGAGCTCCAACTTCGTTTCCATTCATTCGCATTTGTGCTTCACAGTGAAGCAGTCATAAGCCGCGCAAGTTTCCAAACGAAAGCACAGAACTCTAACAATATAAATAAATACGAGGCAGACGAACCCTTCTCTTTTTGATTTAAATTTTTTTTAATTTTGTTTTCATTGAGGAAATCAAGAGGGCAGCAACAGTGCGCGTCGCGTTAAGTGTTTGGTGGTATTTTTTGATTTGCAAATTTGTTGAAGTACTTGAAATTTCATTGAATTAAATAATTTGCAATTCAACGAATTAGATTGCATACAAGGTTTAAATGGATTTTTCGATGTTGTGTGCCGGATTGAAGAAAATAGACAGCTGAATAAGGTGGATATTGAAGAATACAAACGCAGAAAAATTAAGAATCTTTATTGTACACATACATATGTATGCACATAAAATGTCATTATACGATTTTAAATAAAAAAATACGTACCGCTATTAACTGGAATAAATAAATTTACCTTATATATGTCAGGAAAATTTATGATTGTAATAAAGCATTTTAAACGTGAATTTTAATGATTTTTATAAAAACTTTTAAGAAATAAAAAAAAACAGTTTCTCTCATTTAATTGCAAAAAGTGTGATGTGATCATACAAATGTGCAGAAAAAACTTCTTAAATATACCAAATAAACTTTAATTTTTGCCGAACCAAAGTTCAAAGTCTTTCGTTTCGAATTTGTTAATTTTACCTGCCAACAACGTACCGTTTAGTGTGTTTTTGTGAAATTGTGTTATTTTGCTGGGGAAAAAATAATTAAATTTTGCTTTGGCTGCGTGCAATGCACCAATAAAAAAGGTGAAAAGCAATCACACATCTATAAATCAATGATAAATAATTGCTAACATCAATTTTTGCAATTTAAACCGGCTCCGATTTCCAGATTGAAACAAAGTGAAACAGGAATACTGAATGAAGCTTGAAGTAAGTACCCAAAAAAAGGAATTTAAATTTAATGGCATAAAAAATACAAGTAGTAAGCGCATATCGTCGTTTAAAATGCAAATTACGTTTTAAATTATAAACACACACCATATTGGCAAGTTTTAAGAATTTATTTTTTGTTATTTAATTTTAATTATTTTTTTATACAATAATTAAAAAAAAATCAAAGCTTTTTAATTAGATTTCTTAGACAGATTTTGCTTATACAGTTTGTATCCCATGCAATTTTAGTTAAATAAAGTATATGTTAAAAGTAGGACTTTATTTTTCTATTGCGACGCGAAGGAAGTTCGACGAAAAAAGCCAAAAACCAATGGAATACAAAACCGCATAGGTATATACTCATACTCACTAATAAATTGAATTAAAAGTTTGAAATCTTTACGAAAGTTTGTTGGCCTTTTTTAATTATTGCAAAACGTTAATTTTGTTAAAAGATAAACTTTATTTCTGTTACAATTTTAAATAAAATTAAATAAAAAAAAAATTGATAAAACTTGTCAATATATGGTGCGTCTATAATTTTGAGACGGCGTGTATGTAATAATAATAATAATAATAATAATAATAATAATAATACTATTTTGGCGCTTACTCTTTTTCTAAGTATTGGTCATTTGGTGTTTATTATAAGATTTTTCAGGGCTGAAATACGAGGGTATTTTACAGGAGACTATCCATTAATTTCAAATTTAGTTTTCCGGATTCCGCAGTGTTTTCCAGCTAGTAAATCTAGTCGACAGGCTGCTCAACTGCGCGGCCTTGAGCTCGCTCACGGTGCTCTAAAAGCAAGTTGAAGAAGGTCTGATTTTTCTATAGAGAAAACCAGAGGGCGAATACCTTTGACAACACGTGGACCACTTTCGGGAAGATGGATCTTAAGTAAGCACTTCAATGTCTTTCCGGTGGGTGTTTGACAGGTTAAATATCTTACCAGATACTCACTGTCGCTGCAGGTAGATGACGTGGAATCACTCAAAATTTTCGTTAAGCTATCTAGGAGGTTTCTTTCTAACTGCCTTGCATTGTTCCTTTTAACCAACCCTGAGAAGCCCTTCCATGTTGACATTTGCTGCCTGTGAAACTTCTATCCTGATTTTTGCTATAGCTTAGCAGCTACTCGTAATGGCGTCACAAAATATTGACGACTAAAATCCAATGAACATGAAATCTTCCAACATTTCGAACACCTTCGGTCAATTTCTTTTCGAACAAAATGATTTTTCTATTTAAAAAAACCACACTCAACTAGCATTTTAATGAGCTTTAATATCTGCAGTGCGGTTCATAATTTAACAGAACAAAAAAAAAATAAAAATTTCCAATAACTTTGCACTTTTTCCTGAACAACTGTACTCCTTTTAATACCAGTAGTTTAAAGCGCGATTTCAGCTTTGCTTTATGCAGCGAACAGTTAATGAATCAGGCATTAGTAGTAGAAACGTAGTTTTAACATTCACGCGTTAATTTCCGTGTCTCACGATTCGCAAATGCTAAAATTCGCACCATCCGTATGTATTGTATGTAGAAGGTGTTTTTTTTTTAATTCACACAGTACAGTTGCGTATTTGCATGCTTGACGGTTTATAGTATCGATTAAATTGCTTTTAATTGTGGGTGCCTTAATAACTGTTAATTAGTTTAACGACAATGTTAGATATTTAAGCAATGCGATTAATGACTAATAATAAACAGATAAGTGGTAGTTATTTTTACATTCGTAAATTTTTATTTCACTTAATTGTGCAAGGGTTAGAATTACGCCAAATACTTTGAGAGGCTCAATTTCCTAACTAGCAATTTTAACGATGTAAAGCTATACTTAAAAATCATCGTAAAATCATCAAATACAACTTGCAAATAGCTAATAAAAATAATTATATATGGTAACAACCAATAATAAATTACTTTCATTTATGAATATGTTTCATACCAAAATATTCCGCTCTCATTAATTACTTTACTTATTCATATACAGTAGAATCGCGGAAAAGTTAACTAGCGCAAAAGAAAAACGCTCCGCTAAGTTAACCGAATTTTAGCGTTCACTTAAAGCTCTAAAAAGTTAACTTTTGTTTTAACTTTTCTGAGCTTATAAATTTTTCAAAACAACCCCGATCTTAATTAATGTACGGGTATTACTCGAATTTCTTTTTGTCGTGAGCGTTTGAATTTGTAAGTTGTTTATTGTTTGTGTGTTCATCAAATATCAACCACCCCGTATACATATTACTATAAAAAGAAAATATCCGTTGGGATGCGAGGGTCGCCTTTTCTTTTCTTATTTTCTCATTTTCAAACGTTTGACATTTGAGAAAGGCTTTGAGTTCAAATCATTCTCAAATGTGTATCAATTCTAATTGTTTGCTGGGTTACTTCAAGTCATTTGCATAACATTTCAAATATAATCTTTCCGCAAACCTTCCAATATAAAGCTATAATTAAAGGAGCCTCTAGAAACATTTTAATCATTTGGAAATACAAATAAAAGCGAATAACAAATAATTTGCCAATATTTAATTTTTATTTTTTGCTTCAAGTCAGACGAATGTTTCCTGTTCAATCCAGTCTTTAAAATGTTGTATAGTCATTCACTTTGCGTATTTAGTAACATTAATTCTTGCGTTATTATTTTTTTGTATACTGCTGTGAGATTGATGTGGTTTCTCAATTTTTATACCCGAGCGCACTTGTGCACAAGGGTATATTAATTTTGTTCACATAACGGTTGTTTGTAACAGCCAAAACGAATCGAGATAGATATAGACAAATGTATAC